CCGGCCGCACTGTTAGCATTGCCGCCTCGACAACCCATCAGCATTACCATGCTTCTTGCCGCTTCTGTGCTCAACCACTAAGTCGTACTGGGACAGGACTTCCATCCACCTCGCCAGCTGACCCTCGGGTTTTTTTAAATTAAGTACCCACCGCAATGCGGCATGGTCAGTTGTGACCTGCGGCCGTACAAGTATTGTTTGAAATACTTCAAGTACACAACCACAGCCAACAACTCTTTACGAGTGACAGTAATTTCGCTCAGGTTTGCTGAGCTTCCGGCTCGCATACGCAAGCAGTTTTTCGTCACCACCCTGGACCTGCGACAACACCGCCCCGATACCTTCACCGCTGGCATCAGTGTCCAAGATAAAGTCGCCCTCGGGCATTGGGTATGACAGAACTGGGGCGGCCTGAAGCCTGCCCTTCAGCTCGTCAAATGCCTCCTGACAACTCTCAGTCCACACAAACTCTCTGGATTTCTCGGTCAAGGCATGAAGTGGACTTGCCACTTCTGCAAACCCCTTTATGAACTTCCGGTAGTACGATGCGAGGCCCAAAAAGCTTCTAACATCTCGTACATACCTCGGGACCGGCCAATTCGCCACTGCCTCAATCTTCTGAGGATCCGTGGCTACCCCTTCTGAGGACACGATGTGCCCAAGGTAAGTCACTGACATCTGAAACAAATGACACTTGCTGGGCTTGAGTTTGAGCCCAGCGTCTCTAAGCCTCCCCAACACAACTCGGAGACGTTCTAGGGTCTCCGTCACCGATCGACCAAACACGATGATGTCATCCAAATAAATCAGTAGGATTTCTCATTGCAAGCCGGCCATGACCTTTTCCATGAGCCGCTCAAATGTTGCCGGGGCATTGCACAGCCCAAAAGGCATGCATTTCCACCGGTACAACCCGCTTCTCACTACAAATGTCGACTATTGGCTGGCGTCCTCATCCAGAGCGACTTGCCAGTACCCCGACGCCAAGTCAAGTGTACAAAACCACTTCGCCCCACTCAACGCATCGAATGTTTCATCAATGCGCGGCACAGGATCCTTGATGGTCACCGAATTCAACTTTCTATAATCAATACAGAAGCGTTTTGTACCATCCTTTTTGTCAACCAAAACAATATTTGCCGCCCATGGACTGTCGGACGGTTCAATCACCCCCCCTCTTTTCCAAATCACCGACTTGTCTCTTGATTTCCTCCTGACGGCAATACGGATGACGCCTCATCCGTTCTCTCACCGGTTTAGCATCACCAGTGCTTATGTGATGCTGGACCACGTCTGTGCGACCAATGTCGTGGTCACCCTTAGACAATACATCCTGAAAGTCAACTAAACATTTCCGGACATCCTCATGGTGCATAGCCTCTACCTTGGCTGTACCCCTCTCAAACAAATCTTGCAAGTGCTGGGGTAATTCCTCACAAGCATTCGCCACCACATCCAACTCACCATGAATTGAACCAACCTCTACCTGGGAGATCGTTCCCGCTGTCGTCCCCTCACGTGCAACCCTTTTCTCCCTTCCGGGATTGAAGACCCGCAACAGAATAACCTCTGCTTTAGTCTCAACCAGAGATCTGGCCAAAACCAAACCCTTCTTAGCTAGGTCCCCGCCACCTTCCATTGGTTCCACCATTGCTGGCCCGACCAAGTCGGCACCCTTCCGGGCAATTATACCTGGGACCATGGCCTCATGACCGGCACCGTTTGTGCACCTGATTCGCTCACCATTGAGCCTCCACTCTCTTGACTGGAAGTCTATGTTTCCACCTGTTGGCACGAGAAAGTCCATGCCCAGGATGCCACTATACTTCATTTCGGTAAACACCGCCCTTACTTGGTGCGTGGTTCGACCAACTTGCACCTCCACCCAAGCTATGCCAAGCACGGGCAATCGACTTGCTTCACCTGGACCTCCTCCGTCTCTAAGACGGGCCTCTTCTCCTTTGGAATTTGATAGTACACAGTACTACTTATCAAGGTGTCGGTAGACCCCGTGTCAATCAAAAACAAACACTTGGTCCCTCTCACCATTCCATCAACAAATAAACCATAACGAGGGCCGCGACTTGGGTTGGGCAGAGTTATTACTCGTTGCCCATCCCCATGCTTTGACCTCTTTTCTCTACTACCACCCTCGCTGTCACTCTGTTGTCTTTTGGACCCTTTTGTCCACTCAGCCTTCCCGCGGGTCCTACGGGGGGCTGACTGCCGTTTCCCTGTTGTGGATGTCTCTGACACCCCCGGGCGAAATGCCCTATCTCACCACACCTGAAGCACTTCGGGGTACTGGGCTTGTTCGTTTTGGGGGGCATGCCCTGAACCTGACCCTGACCCTTAATCTGAGTCGACAACGACTTTACCAATTCAGCCACAGACTTCAATGCCTGGGCCTGTTCACCGATACTTTTCTCTAAAGTCTCAAACCTCTTCTCTGTTCCGGAGTCAACAGCCCTCGCCAGCTTGGCGGGCTTCCGGTCAAACAACCTTTGCTGTTCGACCTTATCAAAGTTCTCTGTCTCTAGGGCAGCCTGGACCGCTTCATCCAAAGTTTTTGGACGAGCCTCCCTCCCTGACTGAATGACAATCAACGGCGTCTATGAAGTGGTTCTTAGCCAACCTCTCCCGAGCATTCTCCTGCAACTCAGGGTATGCTCGTGCTGTTAACTCGTTTATCGCTTTCCCTAATTCCTGCAAGCCCTCCTTTGGCTTTTGGCGTCGATGTCTCAATTCTACAAGATAATTTTCACTCTGTCGGGCTGACCCAAACCTGCGCTCTAGCAGCTTAACAAGTGCACTGTACTTGTACTTGTGGCCTGAGTCACCCAACAACCGTAGAGCGTCTCCCTGCAAGCTTGCGGCTAACCACCTCGTAGCCTGCTCCTCGCTCCACATATTCACCTCACGACATGACTCAAAATGGCGGAAGTACTCCTTCCAGAGTACCTTCCCACTGTACCGATCAGGGGTTATGTTTGGCCTGCGATTTGGTCGCTCCAAACTACCCATCTGACCCACACCACCATGAACCCATGCCTCTCTTTTCAGTGGCCACGGACCCACTGACGAGATGTCAACTTGAGCTGAACTGTTGTTCTTTGCCTCGACTGGTCGAGTCGCGAAACTCAACAGTTCACTATGTACCTGTTTAGGGGTACACAATTCCTTTTCTTCAACGAACGGGTTGGTACTCACCCTACCCCGTCCCACACCAACCTCAGGCGTGAACGACAACAGATCCCCATTAGGACCCTCCGTCTCCCTTGAAATAGGCGTCGACTGCGCTCGGGGGAACTTTGTCCTTTCTGAGGTGTACTTTCAATAAAGCTCACCCCCTCCCCACTTTAGGGGCCAACTCAGGCACCACACCGGCACCTGACTCTCTCCCCATTGCTCCAGTGACATACCCAGATGTCTCTTCGGGCAACCTAAACTCAACATCGGAATCAACACGACGGCGCACACGCCCACTTTCGTCGTGCATACCCCCGTTTCCTCCATTTGGGGAATCACCCGACTGCAAGTCCATGGCAGCTAGCGCCAACTTCTTTTCAGTGAGGTCCTTTTCCCACTGCAGTATTTGGTTTTCCATCTGCAGTCGTTGCACCTTGACCTCAGCACTCGAGGTGCCAATTCGACCTTTCGAGCCTGGATCGCTCATCTCAACCCCAAAATCACCACCGAAATCAACAACACGTGAAGACCAATTGTGCAATTCTATTAGACAACAGAAAAGTCACCTTAATCAATTCCAATCCCACTTCTGACACCATTTGTGGCGGGACTGTTCCCGAACTAAGTTATTCCTCGGACCAGGGACTAGACAAAGCAGTCTAAAGGCTAAGGATGCCTGATCGTTTTGGGTGGAAATCTACCGCCGCAGGAATTGATCACTAAACCTTCTGTTAATTAGGCAATAACCCAGCTAACACATCACGTTGCCACAACGTTGTGCAAAGTTGTGAAAATGTTGTCATTTGGTAACGTGTCACGATGACATTCAAGCAACGTTGACACAACGTTTGACTGTATAATTGTTGGTTGTAAAAATGTTGTATATCGGTAATTTGTACAACGTTGTACGAAAGTCATCATATGACATTGTATTGACGTTGTATGGTGGTCGTTTCACAATCGTTGTAATAAAGTAATAAATATGACGTTGTGGTTACGTTGAATGTAGGTGTTTTCATGACGTTGTTTTTAAGTTGTCAATGTTACGTTGTCAGAACGTTGTAATTTAGAATGTTTACAACGTTGCTGTGAGGTTATAATCATGACGTTGAGTTAACGTTCCATCTACGTTATTTTATAACGTTTTTTTCAGTTGTGAAAATCACATTGACACGACGTTGTAGTTTGGTATTTCAAAACGTTGCTGTGATGTAATAATCATGCCGTTGTTGTAACATTGTATGTGGGTACTTTCACAACGTTGATGGTATGTTGTCAATCTCACGTTGTCATGACGTTGTAGATAAAAATTTACACCACGTTGCTGTGTTCATGACATTATGATGACGTTGCATAAATGTCTCATCATAATGTCGTTGTTAAGTTGTAAATATCATGTTGTCGTGACATTGCAGTTTGGTATTTTCACAGCGTTGCTGCTATGTTGTGAACCTCACGTTGCTGTAACGTTTTATAAAGGTGTTTTGACACTGAATTTAAGTTGTAATTATGCTGTGGGTTATGATCCATGCTTTTGTGGTATTGACAAAAACATTGCGATTACGATTTACTGAATGTGAAGTGAACATAATGTTTTAATTAATGATGTTTTATTTGATAATAATTAACATTTGGGTGCCGCCTTGCATTAATAATGTAACTCATGAAATTTCGAACATCATCATGTTTGTTTTGTCGTAGTAGGAATATAATGTTTCCATATATTTTTCTAATGGTCTAAGATGGATGAGATCGTGGACAAAGCGCGACTGTTTCCCGCTCATATTCATTGTTGTATATTCAATGTATATATTTATTGCACACACCAACGTAACTTGAAATATGATTCCTGTTCTCAAAGAAAATATTACCATGGCGCATGCGCGTCAGCAGAAATTCCACGTCCAGACCGCGTGATAGCTTATTTGAATCGCTCTGCTCAGTCGAGTCAGCGATCTAGCAGCAGCAGCTCACTAGTATAACGGTCGCCGACTCGCCGTCCAGTTGATGTGAATTAGCCATGGTCACCAAGCAAGTTATTTTCACTACAGCATTTCTTAGAAGGTAGGAATGACATTTTCTGTATCTTGGCTTCATTCTTGTGTCGAACACATTGTCTAAAAATCTGAAGAAATTGGATCAAATTAAAGTAAAACAACTTTTCGAACAAAGTCGCTGTAAAAAAATGAAGATTTTCCTATGCCTATCATCTTGTTTTTTTTTTATAAATGTTGAAAATGTTCTTCAGACTCGATCAGAATAAATGTAGATTAATTAAGAGTGAAAATATGTGCCTCAATTGAGATTGGAGGCCCGTCAATGCGAACAGTTTTGGAGGATCATACACTGAAAGAAACGTTCAAGTCATCTGGTTTTCAATTTAATAATACAATCTTGGTAATATTCCAAGGAAATAATATACATGTGGATCAGATTTACTCGAATTCATGTGAGACATGTTAGACCTTTTTAACAACACTTTAGGTTGGAAAGTGATTTGTTCGATAGTTATAATTTTAGATAAAACAGATATTGTTTTAGCAAATGGCAAAATGTTGGAAGTGTATACATTATATCGAGAAGACTTTTGATTTGTGTACTATAGTATAGGCTTATGTTTGTATTTTTTTTCAAATTGATGAATTAATCAAACTGTAACAATATTGTATTGAGATACCCATGATACCCGAGCCAACAACCGTGAAATTGTTACCTGGGGTATCTCTTAATTTATAGATCTGATTTGATTTTCTCTCAACTAAAACTAGCGCAAATTTAAGCATAAACAGTCCGTTATAAAATTCCCGCTCAAAGACACAGTGTACGGTTGTAATACTAATAGCAACGCGCATTAGCATTTCAGTCCCAAGGGTCAGGCCTAAAGTTCACGTACCAGGACTGTACACGTATAAACGGTCATCTGGCTTTCGTTGGCTTGTACATAACAAGTGTATACAGTTTCAATCCGGGCTTTCGGGCTGTATAGCTCCCAGGGTTTGGCGTGATTTTTGGGAGTTTGACCAAAGTGTATGGAGTAGGGTTCAGGGCCAGGTCAGCACTGTTACAAGATCAATGAAAAATACGCGAACTATAAAAGCCTTTTCTAAAACTATAGGGTCATTTGTAGACTAGTTTTTGTGTGTGAAAAATAAGACATTATTTGGGTTGAAGAGCACGGGGACATCATATTTATACTGTGTTCAAACGTTATTAGTTTTACATATTACTCAACCTTAACATTAACAAACATCGTTACTTTCTCCAGGTAGGCAGTACACAGGTTTGCTATACGTGAGTGCACTGGCTGCTGGATGTGGCATGTTTTAACTTTTAACTTCAGCAGTCTTCGAGGGAAGAAGTTTCTAATTATTTTGAAGACCAACCCATACATCTCTTCAAGGTTGTTGCTGTAAGTAATTCAACATACATGACCTTTTTATACATGTATCTCTGTAAGATGGTGAAATTAACTTTTAATGTGTTGAAAATACACCTTGGTCGAAATAGACGATCGAATTGATGTTTCCTTTAAAAATGTCGGTAGTTTCTCGTGTACATTTTGATATAGCATTAAATTCATGGTTTCTATCATTTATTAGGGGCCTGCATGACAACTCGTCGAGTAGCAGAGGCCAAGGCGAGGGGAGGACATAGCTTCATTCTGGAAGTTTGCCCCAATAACAAGCCCGGAGGGACAAGATTCAGGGTAATATTAATTACGCCAAATTACTGTGAACAGTATTTAAGTTGCCTGTAAAATTAACAAGTAGGCCTGGGCCTACAGAGTAAGAAAACAACTCTTTTATATAAGGCAAAGTTATCTTAATGTCGACTTCACACTAATGGCTGAAGACAACAGTGTAATATCTATCCAAGATATACAAACTTGTACACTGGAAGTTGTTTGCAGATAGTGTACTCTTTACCAGAATTGCCTTTGAAGCATTAATCGCAGTACGCTTGCGGAACACAAAAATGAAATGTCAGTACATTTTGTTTACCTTCTCATGCACAATAATGATCCAAAAAGAAGTGACAGATAATCCAAAAATAAGTCGGTTGGTCATCATCGGCTGTCCACCATCTGGAAAAATTATTAGATTTATTTTTTTCTATTTTGTGTGTGTGTGCAGAATCCTGCCAACCCTGCCAACGCTGTTCAGCCCGCCGACCCTGTCGACCCTGCAAACCCTGCAGATGATGAATTACGACACTGCATCTTTTGCGTGAAAATAAGTGCATCGTTCGTGCTCTTCAAAATGTGTTTTCTTGTAGGCCTGTTAGGGCTTCCCTATTTATCTCCGTGGTTCTCATAATTATTTTTATTTGCCCTTATATGAAGCCTAGTCGGTCAGTCAAAAAGCAATAACAATCTGAACTAAAGTTGCAATCGTAAAGATGGTAAACTAAATGATGCAATAAGTTTTTCATGATTTGATATCACTGAATACAATTAAAAAAAACCACCATTTTGGCCAATTATAGACGACTTACAGTAATGTCTGGACGAAGCATCTCATTAACAATTTAGTTGTAGTGGCAGCAATATTATAATGAGAGGCAAAATTCTCTCATCTGTCTTTCTTCCTCTGATTTCCGTAAGCCGTAATTTTCAAGTCGAGAAAAAAATATGATATTCAATTTAAATAACATTTCAGAATAACACAGAGCTAGTTGCTCGAATGCAATATTCTTTGTTTTTTAATTTGGAAAAACAATCGTCTGTGAATGGGGTTTTGGAAATTGTCCGCGGAAAAACATATCCCAAAATAGGGTCGATTAAAAAATGAGAACCAAAGAAATATAAGGTGAAGCCCCAATGACTAATTAATGGTCATGAAGAAAGTATTATTAGTTCTTTTTTTGGGAGGGAGCATTGTATATTGGGGAAAAATAGGAGGTTTTATCATTTTAGGCCGCGCAGATCCACTATGCAAGTAGACTGGTTCATGATGTCCCTTTTCATTGTATAATCGATTCTAAACGGATATGGGATTGACTCGAATGAGAACGCAAACAGTTAAATTATATAAACTTACTTGCCAATAGTAAAATCGTCCTGATATTTTTGTTGACAAAGTTCGTTCAAATTGTGGAACTTTTGAATTACTAAGATAGCAATGTTTAAAAACCACTTGTGTTTTCGGGATGAAACTCAAAAATAACAGAAAACATAAAATATGTTGTCAGAAAACTCAGTCTCACGTTGCCTGAAGAATAATATTTTACGTTAAAGTTACTTATAGCATAACTGGTAGTCACCCGGAGATGTACGCCTGCCCAGCTTAGCAATTTCAGGACATTTAAATCCTTGCTAAAGGTTAATATATGCATATAAATAGACTTGTGCCCATCCTTGCTGAAGATGAATACATGTATAATTATATGAACAAAATCTGACACTCTATCGTTTTGAAGGGAAACTGACAAAATAATGCCGTTGGCGGGCAATCTGTTTTACTGTTCCTGCTTCCCAGCAAAAACACACACAAAACTAGATCATTGGTTTTCTAACTGAATCAAGAGGCTTTAATGTGTTATTTTTAAATAGGCGAACTGAAAGCGACATTGTACTGTTATATCAGATTTATACTAGCTTTGTAATAATAATGATTGACGAAGGTTTGCTTCCATGCATTCACCGGATACATTCTTTGTAATAAATGTAGAAACAGTAAGTCTGATGGTTAATTTGGTTTTTTTATTGTTTGCAGACAGGTATATCGTCGTTGCACGATTAGTTTCGTTAATTAACCGTGCCAGGAACAATGTTGCTACAAGGTCCCCACAAAGTTGCAGTGATGTATCTAATAAGTTGCGTGAACGTTTTTGAAAAGTTGTGAGGTGCCCACAAAGTTACCGGAACGTGTTGACTTAGTTGCAGTAACGTCTGTAATGAGTCATTGACGTGCTAACAATTAAGGTTGTAGAAACGTCCCCACATCGTGGCCATGAAGTTGCAATAATGTGTCCTACAAGCTGCATTAACGTGGCCAAAAAGTTGCCCTGACGTGCCCATAAGGTTGTAGGAACGTCCCCATAAAGGTTGCAGAAACGTGCCTATCAGGTTGTAGTTATGTCCAACAAGTTGCATTAACGTGGCAAACGAGTTGTCGTGACGTGCCTATAAGGTTGCAGGAACGTCCCAATAAAAGTTGCAGTAACGTGCCAATCATGGTGTAATCATGTCCCCACAAGGTTGTATAAATGTTTATTTTAAGTGGCCATTAAGTTGCAGTAACGTTCCGTCATGGTGGTAATCATGTCGTAATCATGTTGCATTTACGTGCCAAGACGTTGTATAAAGGTGACAATTACGTTGCTGGAGGGTTGCAGGATCGTGTACTGAAAACGTTGTAATAAATGTTTCATTGACGTTTTTATAACGTCTTTTAAACGTTGTGTAATAGCGTTGTGGCAACGTGCACGCGAGTCAACATTTTTACGTTGCCGCAACGTAATTTTCTGAACGTTGCCGCCACGAAAACGTGACCTTTTTGCAACGTTGTTACAACGTGAATGTGTTAGCTGGGAACACAATAACAAGGACAACTGGCAACTGAATGGTCGGTAATCTCAAGTAACACGATGATTTATTTCAGAGACAACAATTAAATGATTCAATGATTTAGGAGAAATTGTCTTGGGTAGCTTTATTACAACCTGTGGTTTTCGAATATGAGCCCTATTTGCAATACACAACTAATATCGCACTGCTCACTCCAATAATCACTGCACAAACTAATGCTGCATTACAGGAACGCTATAGCAATGCACAACCAATACTGCAATATAGGAACACTACAGTAATGCACAACCAATGCTGCAATACATGAACGCTATAGCAATGCACAGACCAATGCTGCAATATAGAAACACTACAGCAACGCAACAACCAATGCTGCACTGCCTAAACAATATCGCATTGCATAGCTCAGTGCCACTGTGGAGATATGGTTTGTGCGAACGTAGCACTACGAAACCATGGGCCCAGCCCCAATCAACCACGATGCACCTACAAGTGTACGGCTAAACTGTTCAACAGTTCGCCCGCGCGTAGCTAGCATATAGCGCAAATCACCATATAGCAATACACGCCACAGCGAGAGCACACTCAACTCACGTTCGTACAGCTCGCTGCCACTTGCCAGAAAACTCCGCGCGTACGTACGTAGCAATCTACTTACGCGCATACATAGCACATGCACTAAACCATTATGATGCACTAAACATATGGGGCTTTGTTAACCAATCGCGTACTTGCATACACGCACACCCTGACTGCTAAGCCACGCCCAGTCACGGGCGTACTATTATACAGTTCATTCATAAGATTAGAATACAATAACATGAACAAGGGCATAAAAACTACACTTTCCGTCACAGTACGCTGTGATCAGTGAGCTTTGTGAGCATGTGACGTCAAGAAGAAAAAAAGGCGATATCGTGTAATTTATTTTTGCTTTAGAACTAGAACTTAGATTAGTATACTCGACCTCTTAAAAAAAGTGCTGCCTTTTTCAGATGTCTATTTTGCATGTAGGGCCTAGGCCTAATTTCATGTTGAAATTTTGATACGCAATTGTGTGCAAACCAATCAGGAAACTTCACAAAAAATTAAAGTCTGAAAAATCACCACTTTTTTTCTATACTATTGGCTATTTCTAGTCATGACAGTCAGTATGCTTCAAAAGCAAAAATAAACTACAAACAATGCCTAAATCAAATGTGAATATCAAAATTTGACCAAGTTCTACATACATGACATATAGCCTACATCATAGTCATCACACATGTCTTCCAAGTGTGGCCTTTATTTACCGTACGAAGGTAGTCCGGTAAATTGGCCACATTTAATTTTTGCGACTTCACATAGCTGTATTTTCATGATTATTATTAGTCTTACCGGATAACTTCACGATCTTGGCAGGATATTTTTTGCCGTTGTTGTTTTGTTTGCCACTACCGCTGCGCCATTCCACCATGACCAGTTCGTCCTGATCCCATCTATCCTTTCAAAAAGGCGGCATGTTCTGCCCATCCTGGCAGATCCACGATGTCTTTCCGATTTCTACACAATTCTCCTCGAAGAAATCAAATAGGGCATATTTCATGCTCTGATTCATGATAAGGCTAATAGATTGGAAAAGTAACGAGATCGAAGTGTAACCGGGAAGAGTGGGATTTATTAGTTTTAAAATTCGGCACTCTCCTTACAACCGAGTGGTTCCACTAAAAAACAATTTGGGTGGAGCGAAGTTTTCTGTTTGTCTCAATAATATCAAATGTTTTATTTACAGCACAAATATGAGACAATATATATCTATATACAAATTATTAGGTATTTACAAAAGAATTACAGTATATATATGAACTTTGGGTAGATAGAACTTTGTTGGGTATATAAAATGGAACTTTGTTGGGTATATAAAACGGAACTTTGTTGGGTATATAAAATGGAACTTTGTTGGGTATATAAAAACGACAGTCAAAAAGGGAAAATAGGCTGATGAAGTCGCTCCAAGGATGGTTTCTGAAATGCTTAAAAACAATAAATGACTAATGAATTATGGGAATAACTTCCAGATCCAAATACATTATTAACGATATTTAATTCAAAAAAAATTGGGAAAAACTGGTTTCCTTATTTGTAAATCAAAACACTTTTTTTAAAA